TGTAAGGTTCATAGGCCAGAGCAGCACACTTCACCTGTCCTTTCTACTCCTTCCTCTCCTATCTGTGCCCTGCCCACCTTTCAAGATGCCTTCAGACTCATACTTTGCAAGTGACCAGAACTGGTGTAAGTAAAAAGTGTTGAATACACTTTCCCTTCGAACAGTTGAGATTTCTACTGCATTTCACCCCCTACAGAATGATCAACTTTGTAAACAAACTTTGTTCTTAAATGAGTTATAGTGCTCTTGGTAGAGACGTGAGCTGGTATTTCTTATGCCGTGTCATGCTCTCTAATCACATTACCAGGCAAGCCTTGGAACAGGACTGAGGGTTTCTAGTCTTGTCTGAAAACATGATGGCCTCATGTTAATATTAATGTTAATGTCAACCCTAATATTAATGTTAAAGCAACAAAATACGTTAAGTAAGGCATTCTCAAACAGTTTCATCGATTCAGTCAAACACTTGCCTAGTGTTTCCTATGTAGAGTGGCCATAGAGATGAACAAGAGGGTGATGATGGCTGTTTTACTAAGCTTTAAAGAAGTTAAGGAAATTCACCATCATAAATGACAAGGAAAAGACTTTACAAAATATTAAATCTTCCTTTTTTATAATATGTTAACTTCGATAATAGTCTTCTCTGGCTAAACTATTATTTAGGCGATAACACAAACTTACCTGGCTAATTCCTTTACTCTTTAAGACACAGATGAGGCCAGTATTTTGAAAGAAACCTTTCTGTATCTTCTCACCAGCCTGAATTAGAAGGCATCCCTCAGTGCTCACAGACACGCTGGGCTCACCCACTGGCACGGCGCTTACCATGAGACACTGCTTTATAAAAAACCTGTTTATCCCTCCTTCTCACCCGATCATGAACTCCCTGGTTAGGAAGGATCATGTCCTTTACCCACACCCTTAGCAACTAGCTCAGTTCCTGGCACATAGATGTTCAATAACTATTTTGGAATAAATACCAATGTTTTATTATTATAAACAACGAGTGAAAAATTTAAAGAGTAGTAACTTAAAAGGTTATAAATCAGAAAAATAAGCCAGAGTGTAGACGAAGCTTAGATGACTCAAGCTGGAAAGTCATTAACTATTTTTAGCTTTTTTTTAGCAGCTGGGAGTCAACCCTAACCTAGTGTTTAATTTCCAGGATAGAGAAGACCAGAACAACTCAATAGACTCTAAAAGTGATTTAATTGCTGATTCTTTACTTCATGCATCCCTGGTCACTATTACCAAAAGTTATTTAAAAGCCCTATGCTTAGCGTTCTACATAGCAATTTTATTGGCAATGATTACAAATCAGTGAGATCTTCAACATAACAAAAACCACACTGAGGCATTTGTACATGTGCCAGGAAACATGAGTAATATTCTTTCTTTCAAGAAAAAAATGTAAGACTCCATTTATGTTTATTAGTCTATACTGTGCAAGTAGCATGGGCATGGATAAAGGATAATCTACTGGTTAGTTAATAGTTTATTCAATCAATCATTTGAGCTATGAAATTTTTATAAGACTTTTTGGAAGAAATTATGGGAGGTTTAATATACCCACACTCAACCCTGACAGACTTTACCATCTATTTTAAGAAGAGAAAAAAAAAACCCAAATGGCAAACTATTTAAGACCAAATGTAAATAAATACCATATTACATATTACAGATGAAGACTGTGTAGATGTTGAGAAAAGGAAAAATCTGTAACAGTCAAAAGCCAGTAGAGTAGAGGTGGGAGCTGATATTTCTTGCTGCTTATCATTCTTTCTAATCACATTAGAAAGTCAAGCCTTTGAACAGGACTGTGAGTTTCTAGTCCTGTTTGTAAACTTGTTGGCCTCATTGACCTGCAAGTACAACCTACAGGCACACATGGACAGAGGCCCCAGTAGACTCAAGTTTCCCACTGAGGAAAAACAAGGCAGCCCTGCCTTCTTGTTTCATCTCTCCTGCCTATAAACAGACGTTTTGTATGTGTATGTGTGATTTTTCTGGGCCCCCAAGCATCTAGTGTTCCTAGGTGCAAGAAGGCTGTGATGAGCCTTAGAGAGAAAATACAAATATTAAACAAGCTTAATAAACTTCATTGTGATATGAGTTCTAGTGCTGTTGGCTGTGAAAATTGTGTATCAATCAGTTGACAAAGATGTTGGAACCAACGCTTGTGGAAACCTAACTTTGTCTCGCCACTAAGAGTAGTGGCCTCAGTAATGTAAGACCATGTTCTCTTCCTCTGTCCAGGGCATTTGTCCCATGCTGCAAACCTCAAGGACAACTTCAGTTGCATCAGACCTTTACAGGCATACCTTATCTTACTGCGCTTCTCTTCATTATGTTTCACAGATACTATCTTTTGTTGGTGGCGGGTTGTTTTTTTTTGTCTTGTTTGAGATGGAGTCTCCCTCTGTCAACCAGGCTGAAGTGCAATGGTGCGATCTCAGCTCACTGCAACCTCCGCCTCCTGGGTTCAAGCAATTCTCCTGCCTCAGCCGCACAATTAGCTGGGACTACAGGCATGTGCTACCACGCCCAGCTAACTTTTTGTATTTTTAGTAGAGACAGGGTTTTACCATGTTAGCCAGGATGATCTCTAACTCCTGAACTCGCAATCTGTCTACCTCGGCCTCCCAAAGTGCTGGGATTACAGGTGTGAACCATCACGTTTTTAACAAATTGAAGGTTTGTGGTACCCCTGTGTTGAGCAAATCTATTGGTGCCATTTTTCCAATGCCATGTGCTCACTTGATGTCTCTGTGTCATACTTTAGTAATTCTCACAATATGTCAAGTTTTTTATTATATTATATCAGTTATGGTGATCTGGGGTCAGTGATCTTTGATGTCACCATTGTAATTATTTTGGGTGACCACCGTCATGCCCATATAAGACAGTGAACTGAATCAATAAATCTTGTATGTGTTCTGACTGCTCCACTGGCCAGCTGTTTCCCCATCTCTCTCCCTCTTCTTAGGCCTCTCCATTCTCTGAGACACAACAATATTGTAATTATAACCATTAATAACCCTACAATGGCCTTCACGTATTCACATGAAAGGAAGAGTCAGGTCTCTCACCTTAAATCAAAAGCTAGAAATGATTAAGTTTAGTGAGGAAGGCGTGTCAAAAGCTGAGACAGGCCAAAAGCTAGGTCTCTTGTGTGAGTTATTCAAGCTGTCAATATGAAAGAAAACTTCTTGAAGGAGATTAAAAGTGCTACTCCAGTGAACACATGAACAATAAGGAAGTGAAACAGTCTTTTTGCAGTTATAGGGAAAGTTTGAGTGGTCTGGATTAAACCAGATCAAAGCAGCCACAGCATTCCCTTAACCACAGCCTAATCCAGGGCAAAGCCCTAACTCTCTTCAATTCTATAAAGCCTGAGAGAGGTGAGAAATCTGCAGAAGAAAAGTTGGAAGCTAGCAGAGACTGGCTCATGAAGTTTAAGGAAATAAGTCATTTCCATAACATGAAAATGTAAGGTGAAGCAGGAAGAGCAGATGCCAAAGCTGCAGAACGTTCTCCAGAAGATCTGGCTAAAACCATTGATGAAGGTGGCTACGCTAAACAACACATTTTCAATGCAGATGAAACAACCTTATACTGGAAGAAGATGCTAATAAGGACTTTTATAGCTACAAAGAAGTCAATGCATGGTTTCAAAGCTTCGAAGGACAAACCCACTCTCTTGTTATGGGCAAAAGTAGCTGGTGACTTTACATTGAAGCCAAAGTTCATTTACCATTCTAAAAATTTTAGAGTCCCTAAGAATTACGCTCTATAAATGGAACAACAAACTTGAATGACACATCTAGAAAACACCTGTGCTCTATAAATGGAACAACAAAACTTGAATGACAGCACATCTTTACACATGTTTACAGCATGGCTTACTGAATATTTTAAGTCCACTATTAATACCTACTACTCAAAAACTATTTCTTTCTAGATATTATTGTTGATTGATAATATACTTGGACTAAAGCGTTGATGGAGATGTACAAAGAGATTAATGCTGTATTCATGCCTGGGAAAAACAACATCCATCCTGATGCCCATGGATAAAGGAATAATTTTGACATTCAAGCCTTATTATCTAAGAAATATATTTTGTAAGGATACAGCTGCCATAGATAGTGATTCTTCTGTTGGATCTGGGTAAAGTAAATTAAAAACTTTCTGGAAAGGATTCACCATTCTAGATGCCATTAAGAACATTCATAATTCATGGGAGGAGGTCAAAAAGTCAACATTAACAGGATTTTGGAAAAAGTTGCTTCCAACCTTCCTGAATAACTTTGGGGATTAAAGATTTCAAAACAGGAAGTAACTGCAGATGTGGTAGGAATAACAAGAGAATTAGACTTAGAAGTGGAGCCTGAATATGTGACTAAGTTGGTCAATCTCCTAAGACTTGAATGGTTAAGGGGTTGCTTCCTATAGATGAGCAAAGACAGTGGTTACTGGAGATGGAATCTACTCCTGGTGAAGTTGTTCAGAGCATTGTTGAAATGACAGCAAAGGATTTATAATTATATAAACTTAGCTGATAAAGCAATGGCAGGGTTTGAGATGATTGACTCCAATTTTGAAAAAAAGTTACAATGTGGATAACATGCTATCAGCCAGCATCGCATGCTACAGAAAAATCTTTCATTAAAAAGTCAATTGTTGCAGCAAACTTTATTGTTGTCCCATTTTAAGAACTTGACATAGCTTTTCCAGCCCTCAGCAATCACCACCAGGATCAATCAGCAGCCGTCAACATCCAAGCAATGCCCTCCACCAGCAAAAAGATTTCCATTAGGTGAAGATGATCTTTAGCTTTTTTTTTTAGAAATAAAATATCTTTTAAAATTAAGCTATTTATGTACATTTCTCTTTTAGACTACAGCGTAGTGTAAATGTACCTTTTATATGCAATAGGAAACTGAAAAATTCGTGTGACTCATTTTTTTGCACTGCTCGCTTTATTGCGGGGGTCTGGAGCCTAACCTGCAATATCTCTGCGGTTCCCCGGTAGAGCGCCGGGAGAGGGTGCCGTCCGCCCGCCGTGCAGAGCGCCGGCAGGTGGCGCCCAGCGGCGAGCTCTTTCCAGCTTGGTTTGGGCCAGGTGGACTGGAAGGGGCGGAGGTAATCAGAAGCGGCCAGTGGCGGCTGCCTGAGTCCCAGTCCCCTCCGCGCAGCGCTCACGACACCCGTGCCAGGAGTGGGAGCGAGCGGCGGGGTCAGCTGCGTTCTGAGCCCAGGCACAGCTGCCATCTGCTCTGGGAAGCACCGGGGTGTCCCTGTGGTCCTCAGCTCGAAGTCAGCCACCATGGAGGCGCAGGCACAAGGTAAGTGGACGCCTATCGCCCCAAGAGTCAGGTCCTGGGGCGCGCATATAGGCTCTTTTCCTGCACCACCTAACTTCGCTCCCGGACAGAACAGATTGGTGCCATGCCACGCGTCCAGAACTCCACTCCCCCCGCGCCTTCGGTATGATGCCTGCTCCCCAAACTCAGGATTTGCTGTGGGTCTGGGGATCGGTAAAGTAACAGGAGATCCGTCAGTGGAGAGGCCCCTCTGCAGGAAATGCGACCGTGGAACGCTCTACCTTCTCCGCAGTCAGTCGCCCCCGACCTCCCCAGCCTCGCGGGTGCCCGGAGGACCTGTTGTGCGGGGTCCGGAATGCGCGTTTCGGTCCCTTTCCCTTGAGGGAGTAGGAAGGGAATGCGACTCTTTTCGCCCAGGGCCGTGGACTCGCGGCTTGTTGGCTCCCAAGTCAGGGCGTGAGGGGATCGCCCGCCGAGGGGGTGGCTCCGCAGCCAGCCTACGCCAGCGGCTTCCCGCGCCGGGACCCGCCTTCCGAGGCCAGGGTGAGCCCCAGAGTGCGGCCCCCTGACCTCCCGCAGAACCACACGTGAGTCCCGGTTTCCCGCGATCGGGGGGGGGACCTCTGCCCCCAGTGGCGCACGGGGCCCCCCGGCCGTCCGGCTCCCTGCTCCCGAGGCTGCCCACTGAAGGAGCCTGCGGTGGCTTTACGAAGGGCGGCCTCATATCTTGGGGTCACCCTTGAAACTGGGTTGGGGAATTCCTATGGAATCGTTCAAGAATGGGGGTAAACGGACCGTGGACGGGGCAGAGGTGGGCGGATGTGGAGCGAGAGGCAAGTGGGAAGGCAAAGGACTCAGTGATCTACCTCGGGAGCAACGCGCAGAAGGGACGGGTTGCGGAGTTCAGCCTTTAAGGCAATCATCGCCACCAATCTTTTACACCGTGGGAAACTCTGTGGTGGCTCTTAATATAAATAAAGTCCCATTTTAAAAAAAGAAGAAAAAGAAGTTCATGACCCAATGTGTTCGCCCTCTAGGGGCAGAACGCTCTGAATGAGAGTGGGTTGGCGAGTGCCTGGGCCGGGAGTCGCCCAACAGGTTTGCTGCCAGGATTACAATTGTCTGAACAGCAGGAGCCTTACTCGTTTGTTCCATCCGCCTATGTCCTGCCCATTAAGCTGCCGCTTCCCATATTTTCCCTCTATTATGTAGATAGATAGGAAAGGGTAATTCAACCAAGGGTGCCCGTAGTTGGTCAAATTCTAAAGCAGAGATCGGATTGGAGGCCTTCACACCGGAACTGAAGCTGATGATAGCAGCTCCGGAGCTTTCCAACCTGACCTGCATATTAGAATTATTTAGAGTCTTCAATACTGGCCCTGGCCAACCCCATCCCAGTCAAAATGTAATCTCTGGAGCCTGAACATGGGTATATTTGAAAGCTTCTGAGGTGATTCTATTAGTGAGGTTGGAGAAGAACTATTGCAGATAGGAAACATTCGGAGAACTTCTGAAGACGTCCCAAACTACAGACTGGTAACCACTGGGGTCACTGGTTTGCTTTATTGGTTTGCTTTACTTAAAAGATTTACTTAACAAATATTTCAGTGCTTTCCTTTGCCAAGCACTGTGTTAAGAAGAGCAAAGGCAGACTTGGTATCTGCTTCATGAATTTTACAGTAGAGGAAGAGACAAATATTAATGTGATGGCCATTTGAAAAATACCATGTAAAATCACTGCCATGTGAATGCTAAGAAAGGGCCTCAGAGTGCAGCGAGAGCCTGAAAAGCTATAACCCTATCATGCAGTAACCAGGAGAGCAGATTGTTGATCATGTCCCTGTCTCTGTTCTTTGTGCTTTGCATGTATTGATGAACTCATTTCCTGTGCACAGCAGTCCCATGAGGTAGTTCATGTTCTCATTCCCATTCTACAGATAGGAAACAAGCATGGGAGGTACTAGGTCTGTGCAAAAGTAATTTCGATTTTTGCCATGACTTTTTAATAAATTCCTTGTTTACAGCTAGATAGATAAGGAATAGAGAAGTTGGTGTGGTGAGGGACCCATTCTCACACAAAGCCTGTGACTTTTGGAGGAAAGGTAACACTTCAGTCCCCACCTGACTCTCCAGCTGCCCTGTGGTGCACTTCTTTTCCCCTCATGACTAGTTGAAAACGTTGGGGGGTAAAGAAGACTAGTAAAAAGGCAAATGGATATGAGAAAAGTGAACAGATTTTAGAAATACTTAAGAGGCCTGGTGCAGTGGCTTATGCCTGTAATCCCAACACTTTGGGAGACCAACGTGAGAGGATCACAGCCCAGGAGTTCAAGACCAGCCTAGACTACATAGTGAGACCTCATATCTACCAAAAAAAACCAAAATTAGTCGAGTGTGGTGACATGTGCCTGTAGGCCTAGCTAGTTGGAAAGCTGGAGTGGGAGGATCTCTTGAGATCAGAAGTTAGAGGCTACAGTGAGCCAAGATCCCACCACTACACTCTAGCCTAGACAAGAGTGAGAACCTCACTCAAAAAAAAAAAAGGCCAGCCACAGTGGCTCATGCCAGTAATTCCAGCACTTTGGGAAGCTGAGGCAGATAGATTTTTTGAGCCCAGGAATAAAAGCCTAGCCTGGGCAACATGGTGAGACCCTGTCTCCACAAAAATACAAAAAATTAGCTAGGTGTGGTGGTGCCTCCCTGTAGCCCCAGATATTTGGGAGATTGAGGAGTGAGGATCACCTGAGTCTAGCAGGTTGAGGCAGCAGTGAGCTGTGATTGCACCACTGCACTCCAGCTTGGGCAAGAGGGCAATACTCTATCTCAAAAACAGACAAACAAAAAGTGAACAAAAAATAAATAAGTAAAATCTTAAGAAAAGTCAAAATTGGATTGAATATGCAGGGGGACAGTGTCAAAGATGACCCCAGCTTCCTATTTGTACAATCAAATGGAGGATACTTACTCTTAAATCCTCACTTGCCTAGCATTTTAAGTTTCTCATTTTCAGACATTTTGTTATTTAGAAAGCAGACATATTTCTTTAAGAAAAAACTTCACAAACTGCCTATAGCATGTATTAAAGAGAAATCTTTTTTCCACTTGTACATTTTTCTGGCTAAATGAATGATTTACTTCTTAGAATCTAGCTAAGACAGTCCTGTGATTTTCCAAGTGTAAGTTTTCACCTTCAGCATAGTTTATTTCATAATTATCTAGGGTGAAGACAGCTTATCTTTCTGCCTGCTAATCAAGAGACAAATAAGAATAAGTGATGTTAAACAGGCAGGTGCTGATGAATTGTGCTTCGTATTGTCCAGGAAGCCACCAGGGTGCTATGGACATTATTTGCTCATGTAGCTCAGTAAGTGCAGCCACTTACTGCACTAGAAACTTTCCCACAGGTGAAATTATCCAAATATGTTCTTTGACTTTGTAAAAGAATAGATTACTTCCAGCAAAACGAAAGGACTTTCAGGGAAGGTGGTAAGGCTTATGAGGGGAGCGGTTCACTGAAGAGTGGCTGGAGAACAACGTGGAGTGAGATGTCCACAGGAGAATGGCATTCCTATTTGCTTTCCACTGGTACCAGATAATGTTGCTTTAAGATAATTGACATGTTAGAAATGTAGCGTTTTCCTGAAACATATGGTAGTCCTTTGAAATAAAAACTTCCTGATCCTTTTAAACTATGCTTCGATATTTTATCATTCTAAATGGCAATAAATTTGTTGTTTTTGCCTTTCCCAGCATCTTCAATGTTACAAGGAACACTGTCTCCTTTTAACATTTGCATATATTCAAATTAATTACTCTGTTAGCTTCTCATGGCCACTGTAAAAATTACCACAAACTTGGTGGCTTAAAACAGTAAAATTGTACTGTCTCATAGTTTGGAGGTTAGAATTCCAAAGTCACTATCACTAGGCTGAAATCAAGGTGTTGGTGGGGCTGCCCTCCCTCTGGAGATTCTAAGAAAGAAACCATCTTTGCCTCTTTCAGTTTCTGGTGGCTGCCGACATTCTTCGGCTGCATCACTCTAATCTCTCTGCCTCCGTGGTTACACTGCTTTCTCTTCTGTTTGCGTCAAACCGCCCTCTGCCTCTCTCTTATAAGGACACTTGTGATTTCATTTAGAGCCTACCTGGATAATCCAGGATAATCTCTCTCTCTCTCTCTCAAGACCTTTAACTTAATCACATCTGCAAAGACTTTTTCCACACAAGGTAACATTTCCAGGCTCCAGAGATTAGGATATATTTAGGAGCCATTATTCAGTTTACTGTAATAACTAGTTTTTATATCCAGACATCCACTCAAGAAGATTCTCAGATGTCCATGAATGAAATAAAGCAATAAATATCAGATTAATCCTACTGTGTGCAAAGTCCATTAAATGAAAATGTCATATATACCTTACATTATACTTTGTATGATTTTATCTTGTTTCAGGAAGTACATAAGGCAATTTATATGGATACGTGAAATGCAACAAGATAATGTAAATGAAAAATAGATGAATGAAAATAAGAAGAGAAAAGGAAGCAAGGGATGACACTCTAGAAAAATGAATATAATCACATCACTTTTATTGATAGTGCTTGGAAAATAAATTCTTGCTTTGTAAAGGAAGTATGGCATTTTGTTATAAAATGATAAAATAACCTTGCTTCCCTCTGTCAAATAGCAGCAGGTCCAGTCTCTTATACAGGCATACCTTGGAGATAGTGTGGGTAATTCCCAGATCACCCCAAGGAAGTGAATATTGGAATAAAGCGAGTCACACAAGGTTTTTGGCTTTCTAGTGCACATAAAATTTATGTTTACACTATACTGTAGTTTATTAAATGTGCAATAGCATGATGTCTAAGGAAAAAAAAGGTACATACCTTTATGTAAAAGACCTTTTTGCTAAAAATTGCTGACGATCATTGGTGCCTTCACCGAGCGATAATCTTTTTGCCGGTGGAGCGTCTTGCCTGGATGTCGATGACTGCTGCCTGATCAGGATGGTGGTTGCA